GATCAATACCCATAATATTTGCTGATGACACTAGTCTAATAATTTCTAGTAAGAATTTAGATAATTTCTGTATGTTATTGAACAGTGTTCTCTCTCAGATGAGTAAATGGTTTGCTGCTAAGAAACTGGCCCTGAATCTAGATAAAACAAATATACTGAAATAAAATTTATAAGAAATAATACACCTCAATGTCCATTAAGCATTGGATATAATAATAAATATATAGAAGAGGCAGTACACACAAAATTCCTTGGCTTACAAATTGATAACCAGTTAAACTGGAAATACCATATTGATCAATTGGTTCCGAAGTCAAATGGAGCATGTCATGCAGTAAGAGCTTTGTTACATGTCAGCAACACTGATACACTGAAATCAGTTTATTTTGCCTACTTTCACTCTATAATGAAGTATGGAATAATATTTTGGTGTAACTCATCTGACAGCAAAAAGGTATTTACATTACAAAAGAAAATTTTTAAAATCATGGTGGGAGTAAAACCTCAAAATTCTTGTAGAGAGCTATTTAAGAGATTACAGATCTTACCTCTTTCATGTGAATATATATTTTCATTATTAAGCTTCATTATAAATAACTAAGAACGTTTTCAGACCAATTCGGATGTACACAGTGTTAACACGAGAAACAAGCACCATCTCCATAGACCGGTTGCTAACCTGACGTGTTTTCAGAAAAACACATATTATTCTGGCATTAAAATTTTCAACGATCTACCATCTACTCTCAAAAGTCTAATGAATGAAAAGGAGCAATTTAAATTAGCACTGAAACAATACTTAAAAACACACTCATTCTACTCTGTTGATGAATTCCTACTGTCTAAAAATGACTCGTCCTTTTAAAAGGTTATGAGGTTATGTACATAGAATAAATTGACATTATTGACTGTTGTTTTTGTGTCTCAGTTGTACTGTATTTATGGCTTTTGTATTTGTATGACTTGTTCCACATCCTACAGTCATTCTGACTTACTTTGGATCTACGGAATGTAATGTATGTATGTGAGTATGTATGTACATACTCTTGTAATTCTTTACAGAAAGTCTGGATGCCATTTACAATTCCTACCACAGGAGTGCATACTCCATTAAATTATCAAGCATCAACCTGATTATTCTGTCTGGTATCTAGGCATGTGATATTGTTTTTTCTCCAATTTCTTCTTAATTAACAGAACTACCACTGAGGCAGATATTTGCTCTGTGAGCAAAATATATTACAAGATAATGAATTTCTTCAGTCTTGAGCCCCTTTACCTTTCTTCTTCATTTCAGATACTATATTGTCTATTCATTTATTTCTCAGTTCCTCAAGCATTTCTAATTCTTTACACATGAAGTACCTGTGTTATCTATCCCTTGGCTGTGGCATTTAAATTCATAATTTGCTAATATTATCATACCAGTGAATTTGAGTATCTTTATACCCTGCATTACAATATGTTTAGTATGGGAGAATACAGCTCTTGTGCTTACTTCCATGGATCTCAAGTCAGACTTCCAGTGACACAATTTTTGTGTCACTGAGTGTTCTTTTGAAACCGTAGCACACTCACAATATTGCAATAAAGTACTACACACAAACCTTCCATTTCGTCATTTACACAGTTCCTTCTGCATATAGTAAATAAATAGATGAATATAGTGCAGATCTTATATACAGCCCTTAAGGAAAGTAGGTTCATGGTTTCAGCTTCTCTGAGTATATCCATTAATAATTTGTGAAAGAACTGGATGTTCATCACACATATTGTGGATGCCATGCCATTTGAGGCTAACAGTGCCTTTGTGGTCAATCAAGGCTTTCCATCCAAAGAAGTGGAGGAGAAACTTACCATGGATGTCACACTGAGGCTCCTGATGCTTTGTGACCCACCCACACTTTCAGTCCAAGGGACAGTTGGGATATTGAGAGAAAAGCTTGGAGTTGGCCTCCATCTCCTTTTAGTTTTGTGGTTAAATCTCTCAAATACGTGCATCTGCCTAATTTGTCAATGAATTTACATTGCCTTACCATGATATTAGATAGTCACAAATGTGTAGATTTGCCTTACCTTACACAGTTCTTACAACTGAAATTTCTTATGTTAATATAAACAGATAAATATTGCAGATAATTGTATTAACATATTACCTGTTTACTTACTTACTTACTTACTTACACCTTGGCTGTATAGTCCTCTAAGGACCTTGACTTCCAACTCAAAAGGAACTGGCATGTGCAGTAGAGAATCTGGGTAGTGGCTATAGAAACAGACACATCTATGTTTTATCAGACAGTCAAGCCGCAATTTAAGCTCTTAACAATTGCCAGATCAGTTCAAAGCTGGTTTGGAACTGCCATCAATCACTCATGAAACTGGCTGAACACGATACAGTTCAAACGATATGAGTGCCAGGCCACAGGAGTATTGAAGGTTATGAAACTTCCAGTCAATTGGTAAGATTGAGAACCGAATGTCCTTTCACAGGATCTGAACCAGCATGTGCCATTTCATTAGGGATTGCCAGGAAGGCTGTCAGGGTAGGGTTAAAGGTAAAGTTGTCCCTGTGCCTAACTAATTAAGTATTATGCCATGAAGACGTATGGGGGAGTGGCTGTACAGATCCACATTTTCTTGACCTTGGCGCTAGTTGGAGGTGAGTGGTCAGCTCCACATCCCTGCAGCTTTACTCCCGCGGAAAAAGCCCCCAGTACCCATTGAATAGGAGGTTGGGTGGACCCTAAAGCCGCTCTGGACGATATGTAGAAGAAAAATTCTTGAGCTTACCGGGACTCGAACTCTGACCCCTCAGTCGCAGTCAATCGTTATACTGACTATGCTATCCCGTCAGGGAGTGGACAAAATGGGGCATTAGTGGAATCATATTCCCCGCCCCTCTGTCAACAGGTAAAGAGACCCCCGGTACCCACTGGATGTGAGGCTTGGTGGGCACCAGAGCCGGTGTGGACACTGAGCAGAAGTGAAAAATCTCTTGGCCCTGCCGGGAATCGAACCCCGGTTCCGCGGCCTCTAAGGCCCTAACCCATCGCTATTCAGGCTCCTCAGTCAGCTGGACATTTGTATAATTCTACGCGGTCCGTAAAATTGCAATAGTGGGCTCCCGACTTAATTCAGACTTCATATGGAGCAACGTAAAGATCATTCTCAAATGCACAATTTTGCGGAAAACGCCATAAATGGGAAAGAAGCCATTATCTTCTTAATATGTCAACACCTATCAGATTTCAATTAATTTCACAACAACCGCTTCAAATTTTATGTATGTCGCAAGTTTCTAATTTAAGTCGAAGTTGGCCGCACCATAGCTCAAGCGGTTAGTCACTGGCTTCCCACCGCGGCGGCCCGGGTTCGATCTTGGGTCTGGTCAAGTGGGATTTGTGGTGGACAAAGTGGGGCTGGGGCAGGTTTCCTCCGAGTACTTCGGTTTCCCCTGCCAATCTTCATTCCACCAAATTCTCCACAATCGCCCTCACCTATCATCTGGGGCTGGTACAAGGGACTTAGTCCCACCCCATTAGCAATAATTTTTTTTTTAAAGTCGAAGTTGTCCTTGTGCATATACACCAAGCCAGGAAAGTGTAAGACAAGAGTGAAGGTACATCTCCAGGCACTGTTTCCTAAACACTGAATGGAGGTGAGTGCTGGGCGTCAAGCTTGTGTTGTGTTACTCTCGGTACGTTCATTATGCCCCCAAACTGGTATAGCACGGGTGGAGTAGAGAAAAATGTCTTGCCTTTGTCAATAATATTCCCATACTGCACTCTTTACTATTAATCCAGAACTGATTCTCTAACGCACACACTATTTTCCATCACCTGATGTGTCTGAATAAAAATCTAACTTCAGGTTTACTAACGCCATTCTGTCTTAAGGGCGGAATGACTTTTCGGAATCAATATTTCACTGTAAAAGGTAAAGTAAAATTGTTCCTGTGCTTAACTAATTAAGCACTAAGCCATGAAGGCGTATGGGGGAGTGGATGTAGAGACCCATATTTTCTTCACTTCGGCACTAGTTGGAGGTGAGTGGTCAGCTTCACGCCCCAGCCGCTTTACCCTCGGGGAAGAAGCCCTCGTTACACATTGGATAAGAGGCCGGGTGGGCCCCAGAGCCGGTCTGGTCGGCATGGAGAAGTGACAATTCTTGCCCCCCACCGGGACTCCAACTCCGACCCCTTGGTCGTCCAGCCCCGTAGCCAGTCGCTATCCCGAACCATGTATTCTTGATAACTCTAAAAAAAATAAATCGACAAGTAATTACGCCGAAAGGAAAGTCGACATCCCTTCCAGCTCAGAATAGGCCTCGCCAAGCCTTGTGTCTGCAGTTTGCGTCCTGTGGTATAAACAGAGTTAGTCGCGTTAAAAGTTACAGTTTTTCATGGAATCGTAACTACTAAGGAATTATAAATACGAAGGATAGCGATCTAATATGCAAATCGCATCAGTTAGTGGGATAAGGAGGATGCTATGCTGGTTATGAACAGTTAAACGGGATAAAGGAAGAATAGGTTATACCTGATTTTTCGAACGTTTTCGGCATTTGCCTGAAAGAGGAAGCCACCGCCATGTTAAGCCGGCCTAGGAAACCCATAAACTGAACTTTCTAATGTTGGATTAACTCTGGTTATCAATACAGGCATATTCTTTCTTGGATTCAAATAGAGTGTTTGTTTAAAACAAGAGTCCGAAATGAAAAAGATAAATCAGAATTTCCTGTGAATAAGCATCACGCCATAAAAGTGCATGGGGATATCAGGTACAGTTCTTCGGTCTGTTCACTTTATCCCCGAAGAGAAAATCTCTATAAATCCTTTAACCAACGGAAAGAGTAATGCTTAATTGAGGCAAGTTAACTGCGCCTGGGCCCCAGCAATCTCAACCCAAAACGATCCCAACTACGGCGCTTCACCGTAGGCCTATAATTAGGATAGCGCTTGCGCAGGCCCAAATACATGTCACGGGGCGACGCCGGCGACGCTTAACGCTCCCCGTAAGAGTGTTCCAATTTGACTCGAAGTTACACAAATAGCAGCAGTGCCGCGCGGTGTAGGTAGAGTCTGCTTCACCGCCGATCAATTACCCAAGACGTCCAAGACCGCCCAAGACATAGGCGACATCTACGATAAGAGTCACGGTCACTTCTAGGTTACATGTTGACGGTCAGTGCTAAGGAGACATACTTAAAGCTATTAAATTTGGGTTGGTTGATTTTGTGAAATATCAATAAAATACACAATACATCTTTGCAGACTTAAATGTAATGAAGAGGTTACAGTAAAACAGTAGTAATGCACTGTGTCAGGTCCGAACAAGTTTTTTTTTTTTTCGTTCTCTTGTTTGCGGCAATGGATTTGTGCAGCAACTGAATTGAGATCAATTGAGTCCTTTATTTCAATACCACTCGAATCTGATGGTTTGAATTTGTTGGATCAATAGTGAACTAAGACAGCAGTGTACAAAATCCTGTCAAGACCAAATATTACCTCCTGAATCCTCCTAACAAATTCGCAGTCATGAGTGTGCCTGCAGATAATAGTTTAATATCAGCAATCCTCCCAGAAGTGTGTTATCCCAGTGTTGATGCAACAGCAGGACTTGCCCCATCACCAGTCAGTGAATTTCTGGCAGATGAGGAAGCAGCATCAACCTGCCCGCTTCTCACTCCATCACCACCTACAGAGTTTGAACATCCCCTCTCCATAACTCCAACTACTGGTAAGGGTTGACAATATGTAGTCTAGATACTAACAGCATCACAAAGTAGGAAATAAAATAAAATGAATTGCATTATATTACATACCAGAGTAAGAATCAGGCTACATCTCTCAATAAAGTGACTGTGAACTGGATGGTCAGTATTCAATTTTCAGTAAAGGCGTTTTCCCACACCATCACATCTGGACCCCACCCAGGTTCCTTTTCACTGGTTAACAGGAGCTGTTTCTCCAGGGCTTTTTTTTTTTTCAAAATGCCGACTTTCAAAGCAGTTAGTGGCTGGATAATTATAAACTTCTAATTATACTGGGGGGCGTTAATTTGCCATCAGTAAAACACTCTATAAGTAAATAAAGCTAATACTAACAAATTAATGTTAGTTTTATTTACTTAGGAAATGTGTGTTTATGAAGTGTTGTATTGATGGCCATATTAAACCACCCTTGATGATACACAACAGGATAAAACAATAAAGATATTAATTAAGAAACATGCTACAGAAATCCAAAATGTGGTGTATCCCATGAATATTTTCACAATATCAGGGGAATATCCTGCTGAAACTCAATGTAAAATAATTTCTTACTCTCTCCCTTTCCAATTAAATCAACTATTGGTCTGTACAGATAAGGACAGGGACTCCTCATGGTTAATCTATGAAAATAATAGGAATAAGTTAGATTACATTTTTCATAAGTTACAGTAAATTTAGGAAATATTAAAAGTGTTTATAGAATGTGTATTTCCTCAATATTACAAGTACTAAGCCTCAAATTTATTTCTTCCTATTTGTACAAATAAACAAGTTGCCATACATGCCCTCAGTGCTTTTTTTTTTTTTTTTTTTTTTTTTTTTTTTTTTTTTTTTTTTTTTTGGGGGGGGAGATCAACCTCAACTTTGTGTGATGTATTTTGCAAACCTTTTGCCCATGACTTTAATGTACCTTCATACATTGCACTTGTGGCTTAAAGAGTGAAGAATTATAATTTACATTTGTATTGCCCAAGTATGAGACAAAGTTAAGGTTGCATATCTGAAATTCCAAGGGTTGGTACTAAAGATAGTGTGCATACTGTTGACTTTCAGACAGTGGTAGTCTTGCCTGTGGTCTTGTATTAAAACTGCCTATGCAGTTGAAATTTGAAATAAGATTGTTTGCATTTCATTCCATATATGTGTAACATTTTATCTTCCTATTTAAGTTAACAGCTACCATTGTTTCCTAGGTCTGTATCAAGAAGCAACGCTACCAACTTTACCTCTTTAAGAACCAGTATCCAGGGATATTTGTTACAACTGTTAATCTTTTAAAGCATAATGGTTACTAAATGTGCCACCTGCTTTAATGTTAAAGAAGCTCTGCATTTTACCTGTAGTTTGTATTCCTGGGTATTGTGTGATTCTCAGATGTGTCACCTGCTTTAATGTTGAAGAAGCTCTGCATTTTACCTGTAGTTTGTATTTCTGGGTATTGTGTGATTCTCAGATTAAACAGTGAATACTTTCATAACATTATTAAGAGACTGGTCTTCGTAATCAGATCAGAATGTATTTTCTGAGTGGTATGAACTGAATTTTTTAATATTATTTGGATAAAATTATATTTCAAAGGGTTAAAAGATCAAGATGAAGCTACTGGCTGCTAATCAACATCTTGTGTATTTACAACTTTAATTATATTTTATTTTATAAAAGAGAATAATAAAGTATTGATTTCTTGAACTATTATATGACATAAATCCCACCTGGGATGCTGTAGAAATCCTAGTTTTTCAGTTCAGAGTGCACTTTCACTTATGTGACAGTGATCCCATCTGCTGTGGAACACATTTTCTCATCATGTGTCACTAATGTTTTAAAAATCAGAAACATAAAATTCAGTTTCTCCTGCCAAAGAAATTATGCTTTTACTGGTTCTCACGGTCTCTTTGCTTGCAGATTCTTATATATATATATATTTTTTTTTTTCTCCTACCCTGAAGATGGAGGCGATACGTTCCTCCGAAACGTCGGTTAACACCACATATACACGGTGCCAAATCCCAGAAGACTGCTTTCTTCAAATTATGGACTAGTTTTCATTCCATGAGAATTAATCCCTCAATATATTGAAACAGGTACATGAGGATTATCCTCACAAGGCTGAATAAACCCCGTTCGAGACCCAATACTTGTCAGAATATTTGGTAGCGCCGGGAATCGAACCCAGACCTCTGGATCTGTAGCCAGGACCTCTGACCACTAGACCACAGAGGCGGTCAAATTCCTAATCATGCCAAAGGAAAAGGAAAAGATTCTTCATCACACATTTGTTCCCAACATATGTCAATATCATAAATTACACTTGTCAGAAAAATATCTGAAATATAGTTGAAAAATATTTATTAAGACACATTTTTTTGAAAGCATATTCATTTGATTTTATGTCATGTTAAATTATTAATACCTAATATTCCAAGAAATATTGTCAGACTGAAACTTCCTCTGTTGCAGGTATGGCTTATGAGAGACAAATCAGTCCCACAAGTATTGATGAGCTGTCAACACTGAACTGTAATGCTGCACTTGGTTTTGTTGGACTGACAGCCACTGACATGCCTCCTAATGAGCACAGAAGTCACAACAGTCAAGGTAAGGACTCTGTATTACACCATCTGTTATTACCATGGGGTAATATACTACAGCAGGAAAGTTGAACTTAAAAGGACCATTTAAGCAAAGAAGAAGAATATACTACAGCAGGCTGGTCAAACAGATCTACAGTTTTCAGCCTTTCAGTAATGCAGTGAAGTCTTCTTGGGTAATGAGCTGTGTTAATGTGGAGCTGGTGTCCAGTGTTTCACATTTTCTTTGTCTTGATCATCAGGGTGCATGTGATTGCTGTTATGTTCACATATATATTCATTCATTAAATTCTCATACATCTCAGTCCAGACCACGTGGGGAATAATGGGTGGAGTCAGATGGTGAATGATGTCCAGTTCCAGTGTGGACTGCTTGGGGGAACAACCATTCAGTCATTTGAATTCATGTTGCTTCTGTCTGCTTCATCCTTGCAATGTTTTTTTTTTTTACATGTGTTTTATTATGTTTGTTGCTGAGTACCATAAATAGTTCAGAGGGAATTCTGCATCTCTGTTAATGTTATTGTGGTACAGCCAGATTTCACTGTCCTCCTTGACTAAGCGGTCCTTGTCACCTGTTGCTTTAGCCAGTAGCATGGTGTTCCTGAATTTTATCCAGCCCTCTGCCTCAATGCTTGTGCTTCACCACTGCCAATAGCAGAGCATCAAGGCAGAGAATCAGATGAACTATTGAGGTCCAGAGATGTAGGACTCTCTTTTAAGATGTTCATAGTAGCAGGCCATGACCACAATAAAGCATAAAAGAGAATTTAGAGACATTGTAAGGAAGGACCCATGACAAGCAAGGTGAATTCAGCTGACCAACTAACTGCTGTCCATACAGTGAGCAATAGGACAGGATATCACTGACCATCTGACTCTACCCACCATTTCCTATGCAGCCTGGGATGGGACAGGGGACAGATTTGTGTACAAATACAGTATGTAAACAGTGCATTCATTACATCAACCCCCGCTGATGGGACAAAGACAGTCTCTGAAACACTAGACTGCAATTCTACATGGACATAGCTGATCGCCTGGGAAGACATCATGGTATATTGATGATGTTGAATGTATGCCTTGTTCTTATCAATTCTGATTTACTATTAGAAAGACGAAATATGAAGATTAATTCACACCTTTCCCCCATGCTTCTTACAGAATATTAACAGAATTTACATGTATTTTATCAGAATCATAATAGCCATTCATGTTGAGTTTTGGCGCCTGTTTGAATTGTCCCTATTTTTGGAGTTGGAAAGTTCAGATTCACCAAGAACAAAATATTAATAAAATCTCTCCAACTGTTTAGGCACTAGCAAGACCCACATCTGTACATACAGACACACAGGTGGCATTTCAGAAACCACTTCTGTGTAATCAGGAGTGGGCTAAAAACGTGTAAATCCACTACAATCTCATATAGATTTTTTTACAATCACAATTCTTTCTTACTCTTATATTTACTACTATATATTAGAAAGTGAAAAACAGTACTTTTCCTACACCTAGGAAATCCAAACGGAAGACTCTGAAATTACAGTAGAATTGTTAAAATAATTCCAGACGTTAGTAATTTTGAGAAATTTTTTTCTTTCAAAAACCAGTTTAATGTAGGAGAATTGTACTGTTTCTCTTTTAGTCATTATCAAAGAAATACTGGCTATAGAGTGACATTTGAATTACTGACACAGAACCTGCAGTTTCTTTGTCCATTCCAATTATAATTCTAACATGTTGTGCTATCAGACACTGCTTCTCAGGTATTTGAATTTTAAACGAGATTTTGCGAAGTTTCTGTGTTAAACATCATCTTCAGGATTCAAGCCATCACCATGTTTGTACTTTCCAATACTCAGAATATTATTTCATATAAAATGTTCAGTCACATTTATAACTGTCTATAAAACTAGGTTAATGATCATTATTCACCATAAAATGTCATTACAAATATATATTTTACACAGTTGCTATGTTGTTAAATTCTATTTTAGACATAAAAAATTGTAACAAACTTCTGGAATTATGTTTGTAGAAATACTAAAGAAAGAATAGCTGTTACTGTCTTCAAAATGTGTCAGACATAGAGAACGCTGAACTGGGTTTGTTCTTCCAGAGGGGCAGCAAGAATTCAATCCAACCAGAAGTGTTCAGAGTGTGATGGAATCATCATCCTCGAGCAGCTCTGTCATGCAAGAGCCCACTGTGTGCGCACAGTTGCTCAGCTCGCATCACTATCAGCACCTAACAAAAGCCAGTGATGTAGATCCATTTTCATGTCAGGTAATCACTATTTCACTGCTTCTGATGTGTTGTCTGCTTAACAAGTTCAAATTGCTTGGATTACACATTTAATGATGATAAAAGACAGAATAATGTTGGATTTTCTGTTCAGCATTACTACCCATCTTTTTGCTATAGACCTTGCTATGTTAATTATAATACTCATCAATATAAGAATTTACATAATAAAAATGTAGAGGTAAAGGTGAAGATGTATCTGTGCTTAGCTATGAGTAATTAAGCACTATGCCATGAAGGCATACAGGAGAGTGGATGTATAGATCCACATTTTCTTGACTTCAGTTCTTGTTGGAGGTGAGTGGTCAGCTTCACGCCCCAGCCGCTTTACCCCCGGAGAAAGAGCCCCGGGCAACCATTGTATATGAGGCTGGCTGGGCCCCAGAACCGGTCTCAACGACGTGGAAAAGGGGAAATTCTTGACTCTACCGGGACTTGAACCCCAACCCCATGGTTGTTCGGCCTGTAGCCAATTACTATACCAACTATGCTATCATGGCTCCTATAATAAATACATAGCAATGATCAGACTTCTTTCTAGTTTCAGTTAGGGACTGGTCCAATGAATGAAAATTCCCAGTCTTCGTTGTTTGTCCACAAATTTAGAAATCATCTCTTTAGTTATTTCTTTTCTTCTTGTTATCATAAATGGCTTGGACTAATTCAGAAGTTCTACGAGTAGTGATTCACAGTTCATATTTTTGAAAGTAGGTAATAGCCAGCCTATCCCAGCATTTTTATAAATCTGTCAAGCACCAGTTCCATGTTGAATGCATTAGCTTAACTAAAATTCTGATGCCCTTATGATTGTTTTTTATTGCGACTGGTCTCTCTAGACCTACAGCCATTCTTCCTTGTATCTGTTATGATAATTAATTATTAACTCATAACGGTTAAGCGAAATAAAGCCTAATTGTCTTTGAAAATACTGAAATATTCATATTATTCCAATAAAAATATAAGACTGATATAGTTGTCACAAAGTGCATGCACTGTTTGCTTACTCATGGAGCTGAGCCCTTCTGGAGGAGCTGCCAATTCTACAGCTGCTCAAGAATTTCCCAGCATTTTATGGAACCCGAAGGTTCATTACCGTGTTCACAAGAGCCCTCCACTGATCCCTATCCTGAGCCAGATCTATCCAATCCATACCATCCCATCCTATCTAAGATCCATTCTAATATTGTTCACCCACCTACGCCTTGGTCTTCCCTGTGGTCTCTTTCCTTCTGGCTTTCCCACCAATATCCTATACGAATTCCTCGTCTTCCCCATTCGTGCTACACGACCTGCCCACCTCATCCTCCTTGACTTGATCATTGTAATTATACTTGGAGAAGAGTACAAGTTATGAAGCTCCTCGTTATGCAGTTTTCTCCAACCTCCTGTCACTTCATCTCTCTTCGGTCCAAATATTCTCCTCAGCACCCTGTTCTCAAACACCCTCAGTCTATGTTCCTCCTTTAATGTCAGAGACCAAGTTTCACATCCATACAGAACCACAGGCAAAATTATAGTTTTGTATATTCTAATTTTTATGTTTTTGGACAACAGACGAGAAGAGAAAGGGTTCTGGACTGAATGACAGCAAGCATTACCCGAGTTCAGTCGCCTCTTAATTTCCTCCTGAATCAGGTTTCGATCTGTTATCGTTGTTCCCAAATATCTGAACTGTTCCACATCTTCAAAACATCTGTTTACTATCTTTATGACATGATTTTGCCCTGCATTTTGGTGATGAGACAGTAACATATACTTAGTTTTCTCTGTGTGCATGCACTGTTCACATTTTCTATATAGAAGTCTTCTTTGTTTTTAGGAAAATGGAGGTAAACCTCCTCTAACAGGACTGCAGCTTGCAGTTCGTAAATCACCAGATGATTTCTGCTTCATGGATTGGAAGTGGCCACTCATTCGTAAATTCAGCTTCTGGAGTGTTGTTTCTCTGCTAGTGGCATGTGTGTGCATTGTTATTACATTAATAGCTAACCTTCCAACAAAGTGCAACCCACATCATGATTGGTGGCAAGGAACTCTGTTTTATGAAGTATTCCCTGCATCTTTCAAGGTAAAGAACAGATACTCAGTTTATGTAACACTTGTGTTTCAAAAATGAGTCACAGAAGATGAAGTTAATAAACTGAACATTACTTAGACCAATTTGTCCCTTCTCCCCTTGCATTCTGCTCCAACATCCACACAATACTCTACTCCCTATTCTCCCAGCCTCTATTAATCAGCCAGCAAGCAATTTGCATTAAAGTGAATGCTGTTAAATAAACTACGTCTAAATTAGTTGAATGCATTAAAGTGAAGTCACATTTTCCAAACTCATATATAGTGAAGAGTATCTGTACATGGAAAATTATGTAACAGTAATTAGATTTCCAAATTTTACTTCCCAGTCAGGGTGAAATAAAACAGAATCCCATAGACGAAGTGAGGCGCAATTGGAAAATGTACCTAACAGGTTAATGGCAGTAAATTTCAGAGACTACTGGTTTATAAAGCTGAAATTTTGTGCAGACTTTGTGCTTGATATTCACTCACTCAATGAAACTAATATAAATGAGAATTAAATGTAACACAGTTAACAAGTCACTAACAGAATACGAAACAAATATTGGAATTGCAGTTCTCATGGCAGTGACTATGACGAGTTGTAATTCTATGTAGTTCGGAGATGGCCTGACATTTAGAAGAACATATTGCCTCTATCTTCATGCCTGAAGCGTAAGCCATGCAAGTAACCAGCAGAAACATGAGGTAAACTGAATGGACCATGTGCTGAAAATTCTACTTCATATCAGGGATAGCTTTACCTCTTTTTCTTTTTAAATGTCAGTCCAAGCTTGAAAGGAACTGTTCTTCAGACATACATATGACTTTTCAACACCCCTAAATTCAGCACTTTTCAGGATCCAACCAAGGTACTCATATCTTTTGTTGCTATGGGTTCTTAAGAGTTCCCTTGCAGATACTGCTCTCATTCTTCCACTGGCCCTCCCACAGTTCCTTTCAAGCTTGGGCTGGTCCATAACAGGTTGATTTTCCATGCACACTTTGCTGTTACTTGCTTCTGCTAGATTCTTGTCTGGTTCATTCTTTGACCCTGAAGAATAAGATATGTTCCTTCAAAACATCTGGCTGTATAAACTACACAGCATTGTCACCTGGACAACCATACTCTTGATGTCAAATATTACTACATACATGAAAGATTGCGGAGACAGCATTATTACAGTTAATATAGTGTATAAACATGTATTCACAGCAAGGCTGTACATGCAGTTGCCAATAACTAAAGGTTCTACATACCATCAATATAAAGATATATGGCACGCCATCCATCGCATGTTACAAGTTAATAGACAGTGTGTCCAGGTTCTGTTAGGACTGTGTTCATTAAAAATACAAGATGTGAATTATTTTCAAAATTTAACCCCTTTCATTCAAAATAGTCTCCTTCTGAATCAATACATAGCTGGAATCGATTGAAAAGTTTTCGAAAACACTCACTGTACTCCTTTTGTGGAATCGCATTTAAAACTGTGGTACATTCCCTTTGGATGTCCTGGATGGTGTCGTAATGGTCTCTCCTTTGATCGCCAACTTAACTTTTGAAAACAACCAGAAATCTGCTGGAGAAAAATCTGGCAAATACAGAGGATGATCAAGGACTGCGATCCCTTTTCTGGCCAAAAAATTGTGCAAAATCTTCGATTTGTGGGGTGGGGCATTGTCGTGCTCTCGATATTCAACTTGAATTCAAAGAATTCTCGCCCACAAATGATTGAGGACTCGGAGATAATAATCAGAATTCACTGTTTGACCTGGCAGAAATTTCTTCTCAATGACTCCTTTGGAACTGAAGAAAACTGTTAGCAGTGTCTTTACTCGACTCTTTTGCATGCGCACTTTCTATGGTTTCGGCTTCTTTGGGCTCAACCACACTGCACTCTGCCGCTTTGTGAGAGGCTCATATTGAAACCCTGTCTCGTCACCAGTAACAACTGATTTTATAAATTTTGTATCACTTTGGGCCGACTGTAACATGTCTTTGCAGTGTTTGAACCGTGCAATGGTTCTTCTCCGTGAAGTTCCTTGGAGTCCCCCCCCCCAAAACGCCAGGATGCGAGCCGTTCCTCCTCCTTTATACTTAAAGTCTTAGCTGACGTCAGGTCAGCTGACCTTGTCCCCCCCCTCCTGGACGCAGTGCGAGGTTTCCTGTATAGTAAAACGAATGTATCATCCTCTCTCTCCCCGTTGACTTCGGAAAGGTAACATCGCTGCGTCCAAATTTAGAGTCGTTATGTTGAATTGATCTTGTGAAATTCGGTTTCGGCCCATAGCAGTGTCTGAAGGGGGAAGAGTGCCCTCACGACGTGATCAAGGCTGAATCAAGTCGTGAGGTAAAACTTTGTGTTGTAATTCAGGAAATGCAAGTAAGTGACTTACTGTTTGAGATGGTTTCCTTTCAATTATGAACGCCGCGTGGTGTAAGATAATTTGGTTTTGTTTTGGGTTGTGTAAAACAGCAGATCGCCCCTCAGGCGTGTTTGTAACCTGTTTATGTTTCCTTGTGCCCTCAAGGCTTGCGTAAGTACATGTTTGTACTGGAGAAGTTGAATGACGCCATGAGGCGAGCCTGACTTGAGTTCTGTGCGGCTAGGCACAGTGTAGCTTTGTATTAATTATTATCACATGTTCTGACCAGTCCCTGCCCATCAGGCAGAGTCCACCTGTATACTTACGTTATCAATATATATTTATTTATATGTTTGGAAACGCCAGTTGTATTTATGTATACTTGTGCAGTGTGTTCCCTACCAGTTTGGGCTAGCCGATCCGTCCAGCTTGGCCCATAGTGCCGACAGTGGTTTTCCTCTCCCGAGATCCCCTACTCGACCTTGGGGAGGCATAGTACATCACGTACAAGCAAGTCGTTTCTTATGAGCCTGTACCTTACCCATTTGAGGGGGGGTTCACGGGTTTAAGTGGGTAGAAGAACTGGGTTCTTTACCCACAGGGTCAAGGGACAAGGCTCATGTTCCACTCTGGCATGTTTTTCATCGCCTGACAGCGCGTGCGGTACAAACCCCGCACAGACCTTCCGTTCGCCCAAATCCTCGGTCAAAATTTGATGCACAGTACTTTTTGGTATTCCCAAAAGCTCCTCAATGAGTCTTGCAGAAACATATCTGTCTGATGCAAGGATTTCGGTCACCTTTTTCAGATTTTCTTCAGTGCGACTTGTTCTCGGCTTTGATGCACGTGGAGCTNCAAGGGACAAGGCTCATGTTCCACTCTGGCATGTTTTTCATCGCCTGACAGCGCGTGCGGTACAAACCCCGCACAGACCTTCCGTTTGCCCAAATCCTCCGTCAAAATTTGATGCACAGTACTTTTTGGTATTCCCAAAAGCTCCTCAATGAGTCTTGCAGAAACATATCTGTCTGATGCAAGGATTTCGGTCACCTTTTTCAGATTTTCTTCAGTGCGACTTGTTCTCGGCTTTGATGCACGTGGAGCTTCTTCAATGTCCACCCTGCCGTCACGAAATACAGCATACCATCGAAAAATGTTCGAGCAACTCAAACAATCACTACCGTACACACTTTTCATCATTTTGTATGTGTCTCTGGCTGTTTTGCCTAACTTCAAACAAAATTTGATGTTGGCTCTCGGTTCAACTGCCATTTTCCGGCGAGCATTAGAACAGTACTGTTACATTCAAGGTCAGGTCACATGATGCAGCGATGCTTACGCTTTGAAATTGTAGAAAGCCACAGCTGAAACTTCAAGAATCTTAATGCCACAACTCGCCAACAGATGGCACTGCCGGGCAAAAAAAAACCCGAGTCCTAACGGATCCTGGGCACCCTGTGTATATAGCGGATCAGCAGAGCATGGAAGTGGCTGTCTTCCATCACCCATTGGCTGATATCTCAAATGCCTGTCAGGGTATCCTCTTATTTATATATTAAGTGTGGATATTCCAAGAGAATACCACACCTGTAATAAGTCATAATAATTCAAGAGGTGACAATATAAACACATTTAAAAAATTGATAATAATAAATAACTATTACTGCATTTACTTATAAAACTGGCTTCATTTTAATTCATATGGTTCATTAAGATGACCAATCAAATAGCTGGTGCATGCTCATCTAATATTTACCTCAAATAAAATCTATTAAAGAGAATGTTTCTACAAGAGATAAACAATCTGTAATAGTTAGTTCCAGAAATGCTATTGCATCCGGTGAAGGAAAATGGAACTACATATTTGTACAGCTAGATCTATAATATGATAAGCACAAGCTCAACAGAAACTTTAAACAAAGTTTCTACTCCCCATAAAAACAAATATCTCAACATTTTATTTTATAAACACCGCATAGTGCATAAGATCTTCTGGCAAGAACTGAGTTGTCTCTTTTGCTCTGAATCTTCTTAATCGTTATCCAGAGATCAGAGGCATTAATACTCATATATAAATAACTGTACAAATTAGCGATCTTTTTTCATGCATGGGTGGTGTAATGATAATTAGCATAAATTGTTATTGTCACTGATAATTACTGAACCAACCTCAAAGTTTTTAACCATCACCTTATTCAAATTCTTTAAAATGTATAAAAATTGGTCATATTCAATTTATTGGTATGTTTATGATGTATCTCCATACTAAACTGCAAGTTTCAGTTTAGCAGTTAATTAATTATTACTATTATATTTATTTGTTTAACTATGGTTTATTTAACAACACTGTCAGTAGCTCATGCTGCAAAGAATTGAATGGCACCACAATTAGTGAATAATGAATTGTTAAGGATGAGCAAGAATCAATGATAAGGAATTGACAAGTCTACCGCCTATAGTAACTATAACACTTTCATTATATAATAATGAAAGCAGACTAGAAATTATATTAAATTGCCCAGAATGCATGAATGTGGCAGTTCAAAGACAAAGATCATTTTTCCCTTAAAGTGATATTTGGTAAACAGCAAAGCAAGTCTGTTTCTTAGTACTGTTAGCTCATTTGTATGCTCATTCACAACAGTCCCTATTAAATTTTAACCAATGTAGTTTTATATAACCACAATCCACTCTAACTTCTCACTTTTTAGTTTTCTGTTAAATATTTTGTTCCAAAATGTTAGTCGTCTAGTTACATGTTATGATTCTGAAACCCAGAGTCTTATCCTAATTACTACTTTTCTATTGAGCATTATGATTTATTTCAGGATGATAATTCAGATGGAACTGGTGATCTTCGAGGTCTTGGAAAACAAACATTTTATTTGAAATCCTTGGGAGTTCAAGTTGTGCGACTGAACTCTATATTTCAAGCAGAACATTATCCTGAGAATTATGATCAGGTTCAGAATTTAACAGAAATTTCTCCTGTTCTTGGAAACATGAAAGACTTCAATTTTGTTGTTAACATGTTACATAGACAGAATATTTCTGTCGTGCTCGATCTTCCCTTAAGCCCATTCATAAAACAACTGCCCATAAGTGAGAAGGAGACAGAAGAGCAAATAGATGCTGCTGAGAAAAACAGTCAGTTTGTTTTCATGGATTCACCCACTGAAAATGAAACAGAGAGTCAGTTAAATGTAGAAGCATCAAATAGAGTAAAGAGTATGGAGGCACACAGTGATAATATGGTAACTTATGCCATAAACTATTGGTTAAAGAATGGAGTAGATGGGATATACTTAAAAGGTTTGGAGTATTTAGTATATGAGCCCGAATTTGAATCATTGATACGAGAATGGAGAAAGGTTACCAGAAGTTTTAACAAAGGCTTAGATCATGAGAAAATGCTCATGTGTAGCATGGATGTTCTAAATGCTCTAGATCCTGAGGATGATTCTAGAAAAGTTGAAGCTGTTCTAAATAATATGGATCTCATTGATGTTAGATTGGATATTGTGAGCAATGGGACTCAGGGCTTGAAGATTCAGGTGGATAAGGTGGTTAAAGGAGGACAGTTCAGCAAACCAGGCTATCCATGGATTCATTGGAGTATGGGTAGCATTGACACTAAACGACTGTCATCACAGTTACCCATAGCAAATGCTAGTCTAGCTGCAGTTTTGTTTGAAATGATGCTTCCTGGCACACCATCAATTTTCTATGGAGATGAAATAGGCCTTGAAGAGCTCAAGGATCCAGAGCGAGAGGTAAACTAGATAATATTTGAACAGTATTACCCTCCAGAATGTGATGCTGAGTTATCTGGTAGAAGATTATCTACATTTTGAAGGAAGATACTGCCTCCATCTTTAGGGTCATGGAGTAAGCCAAGCCAGCATCAAGTAAGATGGAGGCACAAGCAGATGAAGCGAGTGAGCTGCCTGCTGGTATGGCTTACTCTTTGGTCCTCAAGATGGAGGCAGTATATTCTTCTGAAATTTTGGTGAACTTGTACTGGACTACACAGTGTCACATTGTAAAAGACAGTATGAGAGCCTTAAATTCAACAGAAATAATGTTCCTTTTCTTTAGCAGAATTGCTTATATTCATAATTCCAATTTCATATTCATTCATTTGAGTTTCCCTCCATATCAGTTCTTTCCATTAATTTTCCTTTTCCTTTTTAGAGAGAAGACATAGGTCACAATCATCACTTGCCACCAATGCATTGGTCAGCACAGTATCCAGGCTTTGGTTTCACTCAGCCAGGTATTTTGTCTTGGCTTCCGTTCTCCCATGCCTGGTCAAATGTTGCAGCTGGGCACCTAACCATTGTGCAGACAGTTTCCAAACTCCGAGAAGATTCACCATCCATTTACATGAATGGAATTTATAAGGATAATGTAAAATTACCAAACTATGAAATCAGGTATGCTCACATACTCAACATTCAATTCAATTCAATTACTTGTAAGCTTGATGTGTACCTAATGTCGTACTCACATTTCAGTCAGGATAATATTATGTATTATACTGCTATTAAGGTAAAGTTTTCCCTGTACTTAAGTGATTAAGCAGTACAGGAGTGGATGTATAAATCCACATATGCTTGACCTTGGCACTAGTTGGAGGTGAGTGGTCAGCTTCATGCCCTGGCCACTTTACAGGATGTACATAATTATTATATACAGAATGTGGTAGACAGTACCACAGAGCATTGTAACATATTTATTTACACCTTGTATAATGTACTAGGTATTACATAATTATAATATTAATCTTATATAATAATAATTCTGGAGTAACACAACTTCGCACTCTGTAATTACTCTTAAATATGTCACAGATACCATTAATTATTAGGATACCTTCATTTTAATTATTACTACTGACTGGTTCTTTTAAAACTATTGCTAGTGTTTTAATATATCTCTTACATTTGATTTCTAGGACTGTGGGAAGGGACATCATGATTGTCGAACGTTTCTATCCTCGCCGCAATTCTTATCTAATTATGATTAACTTTGGCAGCCAAACGCAAATAAAGGATCTGTCTTCTATTTATTATGGAGGTGAAGTTATAGCTGATCAGCGTGGAAGAGTTGGACACTATTTAACGTTCCATGCTCTGACATTATTCCCTGGAGAGGTCATAATTATAAAACTAGACAAATAGGATTAGTTCTGATTGTTTTCACTGTTCATATTTCATAATGTTTGGTGCTATCAGTGTCACTCAATTAAATTCCACGCTGAACAGATGGATATTTTAAAACACATCATCTACTGCTGTTTCTTAATTGCTGTGTATTATTTATGGCAATAAAACTTACATACTCGTATCTATTCATAGCTCTGTTTTTATTGTCCCTTCTCCAGTTTTGATTTAAATTTAATTAAATGAATTCCACATTACAGCTACTTCTAAATACTTTAATAAATGTGTTTAGATTTTTAATCTAAATCATATTTACTTGAATAAAAATTATTAACTCTATACTATATTCCCAACATGAAACAAGAGTCTTAAGGGATATTCCACACTTGAGTACAAGTAACAACCAAAAGACCCATTTAAGGCTTACCCAGACTCATATCCAGTGGATGGTGGGGACAGTTTCATAGAGGTGAAGTTACCAGGGCATTCCCCTTCCCATTCTTTCCAGCGTGGAAGCCATCTTTAAAAACTGCAGACAGCAACTGGAAAGGAAATACATTTCTCTGAAGGCAGTGAAATACATGAACTCTACGATGTATGGTTTGAGAAATCGAAGAATCCTTTGTGAGCCATTTATCGGTGCATTAAGAAAATACTGGAGCGTTCCTAAAGCAAAACAGAATCATTTTTATACATAGCTGTCATGTATAAAGATGACGCTACTGCACTTCTGTTACCGCCCAATAAAATCATGACCTACTGTGGTACTTCTTAAGGTCTAGGCTTGCTCTTTTACCTCCCGTTTTGTTTGTAGGATGAACTAGCCAACTTGAGCACTGCCTCATTTTCAATGCAAGAAAGCATAACAACAATGCGACATTACTATATTGTTACCGTCTTCAACTCCATTAATAGGAGCTTGCCTGACTGTCACTTCATCAGAGTACCCCCCTCCTCCCAACACACATACACACAGCAGTTAGAATGCGGCTGGTTGGTCCTTCTTTACTTGTAGTAAATTCAATGTAATTACAGGTGTCTTAACTTATTTACAACATTTTCATTTCGTGCATCCTGTTGTGTTATAATACATAACTTCTTTATTACAACCGTCACAACACAACAATATTAAGGTCAGTGCCTAGTTTTGGCTCTGCTACATGTTTCGGCTATTAATAGCCATCATCAGGCATTTACATGGTTAATATATATACACCACTGAACCGCAGTACTAGTAAAATTGGATACAATATTATTAATTATATAAAGTACTTGACATAAAAATACAATAAATTAGGTATATAAAAAAAGTTATAGTATAAAACAAGAATAAAATTCTTCGATTGATGTTTTACATAATCGAGTCAGTCACTGGTTTTTGTAATTTTGTTGCGTTCCCACGGACAAACTAGGCTCTGATCTTGATATTAGTTGTGTTGTGACGGTTGTAATAAAGAAGTTATTTACAACAGGTATGTGACTGGCCCTTTACAAATGAAGACCTAAGCATTGGAACTCACTATTCAGTTAGCCCCTTGCCTGACATCAAGTTGTGACCTCGTCTGAAAGATACCTATCGAGCAGGTATACGTACAACACTCAAAACTGCTGTTTCTTTAATTTATCTTCCTCTTAGGTCTACTCATGTGTTTTCCTTCACTCTCTGGTGCTTGTGTGGATTTTCTAGCGTCTGTCATGTAGGTTCCTGTTCTTCTTGTTTACTTCTCATTTTCTTTCTTGCGTCCATGAAAACAGGTCAGGATTTCTGAGTGCTGTTTCGCCCTTCCATTTTCAGATGCACATAATGTGGTGAGCTGTCAAGGAGGGATAGAAATAATGTCAGCAACATGCACCCCTGGATGACAGCTTACTGCTATTGTAAGGTCTGAATGTTGTTCCACTGAACAGGACGGTTCTGTGACACTTGGTTAATTTTTCATTTATTGGTTGTTTCTCATCTGCTTCAGCACCATGAATGGCACATGTTGCTATCAGATGGGACACAGTAGTTGTCGTAGAATGTGCCGGGATTGAGTGAACATGGCTTTGTATCAGAGAACACTGCTTGCCTTTGTTTCTCTCTCTCCTTGGTCATGGTCGTGGATCATATGTAACATTACAAAATTATGTAAGTGCAGGTAGCAAATCAAGGATGCATTTCGAAACAGTCACAACAAATTTAGTAATATAAATTCAAAATACAAACTGAAAAGACTGGATTGAGAAATGATAATTACCAAGCTAAAAACAGGAAATCTAAGGACAGCACTCATCACTCCAAGCAGACTATAATAACAACCCCCCCAAATGGAGAACCAATGTAAACTCACCCATAGGTGATGATGTACAACTGCCTGCACCATCTGAAGGACTAGAAACAATCTATTTTAAAATTCATGCCAAACTTGAATTTCGCTTCATCCTCCAAACCTCTACCCATGGCATTTTTTTAAGACAGGGTGGTCTGTAATGAAAGAAGGCAAGCCTCTGCCAAAGAAATGTTTATAGAAGGGAAAAATTCATAAACACAAATGTTTAGTACCTTCTCTGATTGTGTAAGTTGAAAAAATAGAGTATTTAGTTTTCTTTGCACATCTGTAAAATGTTTAATCTGACCATGAACAACTCACTGTTTATCCATCCCTTTTTCAAATGTTTTCTGCGCTTATGCTTGGGTGTGCATTCTGCAATATGGCCAATCGCAAAAAAAAAAAAAATCGAGAGACACCCCCTAATTACTTGCTCTTCTGGCCCTCCTTTTTCCTAATGCACTCATGGCGCAGTAAAGCACAAATCAACAAGTCAGCTATGTAACTCTGTGGCACTGCTGGAATTGAGGTTCTCACAGTGGTCTCAAAGAAAAGCACTGTCTTCTGGGATGTAACACGAGGTAGTCTGGCTGAAGTTCACAGGCATTTCAGAGGAACATATTGCCTCCATTTTCAGTTGAAAAGTAAGCCAAGTGAGTAGCCAGTAACTGAAATTGAAATGTGTCAACAAAGTTTAGTAAAATTTTCCATGTGGGCAGAAATGGCATAGTGTGAACCCTTAAAAAAAGACCTGTAACAATCGGCCAAGAATTTGTAGAAACTTATATTCATTTTGTTCCACAGCTGGAGTATCATATTATGCCAGAATATACTACATAAAGGGATCTTTTGAATAACGCTTCTCCAATTTTAATTGCATATTCTCTGAGTTCAATATTGGGAGATGGACAATAACATAAATAAATTTTCATTATGCACATTATCGCCACCCACGACTCTCTGCAGCCAACATCTGAAATTTCACACAACTGCAGCTAGTCCCTCTTCAGTGATGCTCATCACTGCTGTTGACATTCCTTGTTCCAGTTTTGGAAACTATCTTACAAAGGCCACATAAGACATAATTGCAGAGGTTAAGATCTGGAGAGAATGGTGATCAGGACCACCCATGTCCGAACCATTCAGAAAAAATTAACAGACAACATTATCATCAAAATTCTCATTCAGCCCATCCAGCACCACATTCTCAGTGTGTGGGCGAGAACTGACCTGTTAAAAAGTGTTTCTTTTTCTGAAACTAACATTCCTTCCTTGGAGAAATGGAAGAAACTATTCTTGGTCTGCTTTTACCGTTCTCATGGTCTTGTCGCTTGCAGATTTCTTATACTTTTTCTTCTACCCTGAAGATGGAGGCGATACGTTCCTCCGAAACGTCGGTTAACACCACTTATACACGGTGCCAAATCCCAGAAGACTGCTTTCTTCATATTCTTGGTGGGTTTGGATATAATGGTATTGTCGATAAAAATGGCCCAACAATACCACTTGTTGACAGAGTACACTATACCATTTAAATTGTCTCCATTATTGTGTGGGTGTTGACCAGCCCACACATGTGCATTCTGCTTGTTCACGTAGCCATTCAAACGAACATCGGCCTCACCACTAAACCTAAACTTCAAGATACTGTTAGACTGTCCTCCAAAAACATCTTAATGCCACCACAGAAGTCAACTCTCCTGGCTTCATCAACCTCAAGAAGGGCTTGTTGCATTTGAAGTTTGTACAAGAACAGTTTCATTAACTTGTTGAATTATCCTTATGTTGATGATGCTCCCAAGCTGAGTTGTTGGGAATGACGTTTTACATGTTTCCTGGTAATTTTAGTCAATGCCTGCTCAATAAAGTGAATGTATACTAGTTTTCTGGAAGTTATCTTCTTACCAGCAACACCCTTGATCATGCTCCCAGTCGTTCCAAACTTGTTAAAACCAATCTGTTCATTGCACACCTGCTTGGTGCTTTCTTGCACTCATATTTCACTTGGCATTCATGGTGAATTTTAACATTAGCAGTGTTCTACTGAGTACGCCATCTTGACCACTACTGCTTCATGATGACATGACCAAGGACAGCACATTCTCTTAAGAATACTGAACTCTGATGCTCCTGATACACTGACGTTTGCCAAATAGTTAAGTTTTATATTAAAGTAAAACTGGACCACCTTTTACGACGACCCTCTACATGGCCCAACATTTTTACGAACTGTTATGAAGCACTCACAGACTGCTTCAAGTTATATACAAAACAATTTCTTAATATACCATGATGTTTCTATTTGAAAAAATAAATTCGTGCAAACGTCTTTCATAAAAGAATTAGATTTTTAGTACTACCTCCTCGCCTCTTTAAACACAAAATTTATTGTCTAACAAGTAGGGTCGCAATGTTTTATTTTCTGACAATGTGAAATCTCGAATAATTTTGTCAAAATTATAGTTCAGATTTTAACAGTCTATGATCAATTTGAAATCTATTAATGAGTCAAAGCCAATATAATTGGATTAGTTTACTGATATTACATATTGCTATTACTACCAATGTTGCTATATACATTTTATCTGTAACTGACCAAAGTAATTACCAAGACAACTTCTGGAATATTTTGATTTCCGGTATGTCAGTTAATTTGTATAGCATAAAAATCGGTATATTCAACTAGATTATAAAATTATGCATGTAAGTTACAGCAAACATATGCAGTTTCTACAACATCTGTCAAAATTTTCAACTGTAATAAGAATTTGTGGGCTCACAATTCTTTCGCTGACTCACAATTTAAGTAAATTTTTGTAGATCATTTGTAGTTATATTCAGCACCTGTCACTTTTCTTTGGTATTATATTTTTCAAAAGACAT